CCTAAGTTTTTTTTTTTTAAATTTCATATCGCATCGAAAACATGGTGTTTTATAATTTCACTTGTTTGATTAGCTGTTTTTTGCCCTGCTCGTAATTAGCTTTGAAGAATGGGGAGTCGATGAACGAATTGTGGAAGATTCATGGCAACGCCAAGGCCGCGGTGATTGACTGATAAAATCGCTAGATATCACAGTTTTCTTATGTTATAATCATTGGACTGAATCAAGCAAATGGGGAAACATAGATTTGCTCGTGGTCAAATTGTAGCATGCTTTTTTGCACATAAGCCTTTTGAATTTTATATTGTAACGAAAATATAATGGTGTTATATAACGTTGGTCATTTTCATTGAGAAAGACAGCTTAAGAAATGGTTTCGTAGCTTTTTAACAAGAAGTTCTCTGGAGACTGACCAATGAGAAGTAAACACCAGTGGGACCTTTTGCCAACAAGGAGGAGTGAGTACCACGTTCCACGAGTTTGCCTTTGTCTAGAACAGCGATTGTGTCACAGTTTTGGATCGTGCTCAGCCTATGTGCGATCACAACGCTCGTCCTCCCGACCATAACACGCTCCAGCGCGTCTTGCACCACACGCTCCGATTGGCTGTCCAAAGCGCTTGTCGCTTCGTCAAGGAGCAACACTGATGGGTTTTTCAAAACCGCTCTAGCGATCGCTATCCTCTGTTTTTGTCCACCGGACAACTGTACTCCTCTGTCTCCGCAGGGTGTGTCGTAGCCATCCGATAATGATGTGATGAAATCGTGAGCGTTTGCTGCCCTCGCTGCCTCGATGATCTCGGATTCGTCGATTTTATCCGATGCTTTTCCGTATATGATGTTCTCTCGGATCGTCCCAGCGAACAATGTTGGCTCTTGGCTAACCAAAGCTATGTGTTGACGAAGCGATCTAAGATTGTATGATCTTAAATCACGATCATCGATCCTTACAACACCTTTAACCGGGTCATAAAACCGTTCGATCAACCCGATTACGGTTGATTTACCCGACCCGCTTGGACCTACTATCGCAGTCGACTTTCCCGCGTCGATTTCAATCGAGAAATCTCTAAATATCATCACATCCGGTCTAGTTGGGTACGAGAAGTCTACATTGAGAAATTCGACCCGGCCCGTTATTTTCTCTGGCTCATATCCATCTGGATCCTCCGGATCAATTAATGTGTACCGATCCAATACAGCAAAAACAGACCCAACAGCTTCTGAACCTTTAGCTAGATCCGTGGTCATGCTTCCAACATCAGCAATGACCCGACCAGTACTAACCAAGATCATAAACGTCTCAAACAAAGCTTTAGCCGTGATGTACCCATCAGCTATCAATCTACCACCGTACCAGAAATCCAAAGCCCACGTGCACGATGTGAGGCTCTGCGACATCGCGAGTCCGATCCCTGCAAACCATGACTGACGGATGCTTTCTCTCCGCGGACTTTCTTGAGCCTTTTCAAGCATTCTCATGATACGTTCTTGTGATGAAAAGGCCGTGATGGTTCGGATGTTGGAAACAGCCTCTGCAGCTAGTTTGCTACTCTCATTCTGAGCCTTGATTGCTTTTTGGGACATGTTCTTGAGTAGAACCAGGCGAGTGTAGAAGCAAACAATAATCAACGGTTGGACGGCGATCATCACAAGTGCTAACCTCCAAGCGATGACTAAGCCCATTGTGCAAGCTATGGTTACAGCCGAAATTGTTTGTACCAATAATGCCATCCGATCACCTACCAACGACCTCACCTATCATAACAAAAACAAAACAAAGATCAAGAAACGCCATTAGATTGTTTATCAAAAGTTCAAATTTAAGATTCATGTACTTACCACAGTAGCATCTTTTGCGAGTCTAGAACAAATGGCACCGCTCGAGTTCTCATCTCGATCGAACCAACCAAGTTCAAAGGTTAGAACCTTAGAGAGCATCCGTTCTCGGATACGCTTAGTCAAATATTCGCCCATGTATGCAAAATTGTAGTGCTGACTGATATTAATCAGTAAAGAAAGCACGGCTAGCCCTACAAAAGATAATGCGTAGATCCTTGTTTTCTCCTTGATCTCATCGTGGCTCGTCAGAAAATAAACCGATACCATCGACCCCAAAGAATATGCGTACGCCGGCTGTATGGCTCCAAACAAGGTTGCACTTATGCAACCGTACAATGCTTGTTTCCATTCTGGTAAATTCATTGCCAACAATCTCTTAAACGAAGGTACAGGCGGCTTGTTATTTTCAGAAATATTCTTCACAATACTTGAACCTGTTGCTGAGTTAGCAGAGCTTGATCTACTAAGAGTCGAGACTCTTGAACTACTCCTTATATCTTTGCTAGTATCTGAGATTGGACCCATTTGCACATTGACGCTTATCGTCACATCTGGGTCTTCTTTTTCAATCTGTTGTAAGCGGACTAGTGAAGTGTATTGTCCATCTAAGTTTTCCATTAGCTCATCGTGTGACCCAGTTTCCACAACATGACCGTTCTGGACCACATAGATAACATCAGCATTACGAATGGTAGAGAGACGGTGAGCAATAAGGATAGTGGTACGACCGACTGAGGCATTTTCTAGTGCTTCTTGGACTACTCTTTCGGATTCAGAGTCCAATGCGCTTGTTGCCTCGTCTAGAAGAAGAATTGTTGGCGACTTGATTATTGCGCGTGCGATCGCAATCCTCTGCTTTTGTCCTCCTGACATTTGCACTCCTCTCTCCCCAACCTATTTGTATGAACAAAAACTAAATCAACCTCCAATAAGACTATGCACTCAATATGTGATTCAAATGTTACCTGAGTTTCGTAGCCATTAGGTAACTGAGAAATGAAATCATGAGCATTAGAGGCCTTGGCAGCTTCCACAACATCTTCCATGGATGCATCTTCTTTACCAAACAATATGTTCTTCTTTATGGATGTGGCGAAAAGCGCAGGCTCTTGGCTAACTAGACCCATTTGTGACCTCAACCACTTCACTTGCAGCTTATCAATGGATACACCATCTATGAGAATCTCTCCTGCAGCCGGGTCATAAAACCTTTGCAAAAGCGATATCACGGTAGATTTTCCCGACCCGCTTCCTCCCACCAAAGCCACGGTTTTCCCCGACGGAACTCTCAGACAAAAATCGTCAAAGATGGATGTTTCAGGTCTTGATGGATACACAAATTTAACGTTCTTAAACTCGACTTCTCCTCTAATTTTCTCCAGTTTGTCCCCATCCGGATTGTCTGAATCAATCTTGGGAACTCTGTTTATCACTTCCATGATTCGGTCCCCAGCTGCAGACGCCTCAAAGAAGTACTTGATATTAGACAAACCACCACCAAGGGATCTGAAGCAATAACAAAGATACCAAAGATCAAGATCTTGATACGTTTTAATTTTCAAGATCAAAATACTTTTTTTTTTCATAACATCCAAATATATATATGAATATGAAAAAATTGAATTTATAGGAATATAGTAAGCTATCATATAAAATATTTTGAAGGATCTAAAAAACACTCAGCTATTCAAAATCTTTCAGAAATCTAGACGGATAGTATTACCGATCTTAGTTTGTAACTAAAGATTTTACCGTGACCAGAACATTTATGGTAGTTGTTTGTGCTAGTATCATCATTGTGGTACTCAGGTTTTAATTTTTTGTATGATACATAATTTTAATTGTTGAAACCACTTTGCATACAGATCATTGTATCATGCAATAAAATCATTAAATCAGTAGTTTTATATGTTCGCAACGCGCTGGTTAACTTCTAGTTATATTTACTTACACGCCACCGATGGCAACAGAGGCTGCAACAGCAAAGACGGTACCACCCTGAGCACCATGGTACATGACCATCCGGCTTCCGTACCAAGACATGAACCCCCACATGGCGAAAGTGATTCCATTGCTCCCAATGGTAATTCCTTTAGCAAGACCTTGTTTAATTCCCAGTTTTACCGACCCTTGAAGAGCAGTTGAGAACTTGGATAGTATCTTCCTCTCCCCAGAAAACGCATAGACGGTTCTTACCGAAGAAATTGTCTGCTCAGCTACAAAACCAGCCTCGTTGTACTCTTCGCGTATCTTCTTCGAAATGCTCATGAGGGCTCGTCCATACATAAGTCCCGGGATCACTAAGAGGACAACGAATGGTAAGCCAACTATGGTGAGTCTCCATAGCAATATAAAGCCAACTATGTAGCTTCCAACGAACGTTGATGCACTCATCAAAAAATTCGGTAACTGCACCAAACCAAAATCATAAAAAGAAAAAAAAAACCGGTTAATTCTAGAAAAGAAGAAAAAATTATTACAATGAAAGATAAAGACGAGACCTTTTCACTGAGGACGTCTTGTATGACAAAGCTATCACTAGAGACACTTGTGATAACATCAGTAGTGCTTGTGACATGAAGATCAAAGTAACCCACGTCTTGTCTTAACACTGCTCTTAAATACTTTTCTCTCATTCTTGCTGTTTGTCTCTCCCCTGTTCTTGTCCAACAATATCCTTCTGTTTTTTTTTTTTATATAAAATTAAAAAATTTAGTCCCATCAACATATTTAAATAAAGATTCGTTAATCTAATTGGGGTCAACTATATAGAAAAGGAAAGGAAACAGTAATTAGAATAAAGCTTACCAAGGAAACAGACAACCCAAGAACCACAAGCCACATAAAGCAAAGCTACAGAATTCTGTTGATTATACACACAAAAAAAAATTAAACAAAAAAACATTAGTTCTCTCTTTCTTTCCATATGAATTTAGTACATACATATAGAAGTGCATGTGTCATAGATTGAAGTCTAAATGTAAACTGATAAAAAATGACTTTGGTGGAGTCAATCTGGTTATTAAATATATGTTTCACCTACTCTATATCTCCTCTACATGATAGTTGATAGCAATATGTAAAAAAATGTCAACGGATTCTTGACAATAAAACATCCAAAGACTTGGCAAAAAGAAAAGAAAAAACCTTGTGATCATAAGATCTAATAAGAAAAGCAAGAGGTTATATATATATATAGCAGAGAAAAGAGAATTGAGAAAGACCTTGGAGATGCTTTGCATGAAGGTTTCAGTGTTGAAAGAAGAACCACCAAGATCGTTCATGAGCTTGCTTGTGATGAGAAGAACAAGAGGAGTTGTGAAACCATCACCGACGGCTCCGATTAACCCTAATCCCATAAGCAACCAATCTACACCGTCTGCATGCATAAATATGGATCTTATGCTTCCAAAACTCTTCGTCTTCTTCCTCCCACTCTCTTTCTCTTCTTCTCTACCCATTTTCTCGTTTCTTCCAA